AAACCCGTGCCCAAGGACTCACTTTTGTGTTGTTACTTTGTTAGTTAAGTGTTAGCGTGTATATATATAAATACTGTATAGTAGTGATAAATAAAGTCACTTTCTATCCGTAGTAAATAGTACTGCGACTCTTTTGCCAACCAACATCCATAACCCCTCTAACAAATTTTAAAATTTAAGATGGCAGTTACGCCCTCTGTTTGTCATTTTTAGAACTTGAAAATATTTTCCAGCGATTCTTTATGACCGATTTACCCAACAATTTTTTTTACCCCTAAGTCATATGACGAACGGTTCTCGAGATATCGCCGAGGAACAGTCTTATTGGGTCACCCGGTACAGGATATCTGACTTTCAAAGTCATTTTTTTTTAATTTTATGCTGAAGAACTCAAGGGCTCTGTTGGTCTTTCGGGTCAGCGTTCCATAAGCATACAAGATACAACATACAGGAGAGGTTCAAACACCTTCGAAACGCTGGCGTTCCTCAAAAATCACTATAGTTCGTAACAGTTCAAGAAGGGCCTTGTAAGGTAATAAAAAAAATTAAGTTCTAAAGCGGCTTAGAATGCTCTAAGATGGTCTTGAAAGCCCTTAGAAACTCCTTGAAATTGTTGGTGACTGCTTAATTAATGCTTTTAAATGCTCACGAAACCTTTAGATGTAAAGGATCTTAAATGTTAAATGCTTCGTAAAGACTCTAGGCTAGTGCAGAATCTTCAATACCGAAGATAATATTTTTAAGGGCTTTTAAAGATCTTGTATCCTCGGCCTTAATTTTGGCTCAATTAAACACACAGCTGATTAAGGTCATTTATTCAACAAAAATCAATTAATGGGGGGGGGGGGGCACGAATGGAAGGCGCTCAGGGCCTACAAACCAGGTACCACGCATATGCGATCGATTGAAAGAAATTAAACTTAAAAGAGAACTTTAATTATCTTAAAAAGTTAATAATGATAACATCAGGTTATAGCTGCGATTTTTAACGAGCGGACAGAAACACTGATGCTGGTTCGGAATCCTCAATTCTGTACTTTTTCTTGATTCTTGATTTCAACAAGCAACAAGCTTTGTTATAATATGGAAAAGTGATTTTTAATGTCGGATAACTTCACTTTATCGGATACTAGGAAAAACCTAAAAGATCCCATTTATGTAATAGATACGACACTCGAACTACTTCTCCGTATACGTTACACAAAGCGTAAGCTTATAAACTTCCTTGGAATACCATCTAAACTTTTTTCTGCAAGAACTTTACAACCACCAAGACTGACTGTCTTTCACAAAAAAAAGAACTAACCCTAGTCCCGTATATCGTCTACTACGCCCATCTAAAAATCCTTCCTTTCTATTCTTTCTTCTAGCCACTTAGAAAGAGGGAACGCCGGTCGCGTCGATAAACTAACACATGTGTTTACTTCGGCGAACACCTGCTTATCTTCAAATTAATTAGCTTTTACGGAGAGATTACGAAATCCTTATCGCAAGACCGGAGTTAAATGAGATAAATTTGTAAAAAAAAGAACACAATGCAATTATTTCCAGATGCCCCTAACCCTTCTGAACGTAATATAACAACAATAAAACACCTAAGTTCAGATTAAAGTGCTGGATCGAGGAGCCTATGTTCACTGTAAGGGATTTAAATGGCTCTTGCTTTTTTATGGGCTCTATAAAATTATTATAGGCTCCCCAAGCCTAACAGAGATCTTAGAAGTCTTAAAAAGTGTGAACATTTTCAGCGGTTCTATAAGCTTCTATGGGACTGTTCGGGGAGTCTTTGAGACATTTAAATACATTTGAATGGTCTTAAAAACCTTTTAGGGCCCGTTAAGGCTTTTTGGTCTCATTAAGGGTCCTTAATGGCACTATTGTTGAGGGCCCAGAACAAGAGAGGGATAATAAATAAATAAATAAATAAATAAACAGTTGGCCGCTTTGTCGTTTCAAAAATTTAGTTTTAAATTTGTATTTTGTTAAACATAGAAACATCGCTTCATAGTGAACATGAACAAAAGTATATCTGGCGATAACAAGCGATTACAAGAAACGTATTACGGAAAGCGAGCGCGGTTGCCATGATCTATTCAATTCTAAGAGGTTGGGTTCATAGCTCTCCGTTCATCCGTTGCGTTGATCCGTCAAACGGATAGTACATTTTGTTAAGGTTCATAGCAATCCGTCCACATTGTACATTTGCAACGTATAACCATAACCTAAATTTTATTTTGTATTGTACCCTCCGTGATTTTCAGTATGAAAAATGGTACGAAAATAAGAACACGTTGCTATCTGAATATCACCGTGAAGAACGAATAGGCGAACACTGTTAACGTACCAAACATAACCTCACTCTTGTTAAAAACGGACCAACGGAAACGTAAATGTTCAACTTCAACCAACTTTTCCGTCGTAAACGGACGACGTACGATTTAAAAATTTGCTGCCTTCTGATTGGCTAACGGACAAACGGAAAGTATGAACGGAGAGCTATGAACTTACCTTAGGGTTTTGTTCCGTTCCGGTTCCGAGCACGTTACCGAAATGCACGTTTACTATTCGTTTAAAAAGGTTCGCTGGTCAAGGAATTTTCCAAGATAAACTCAATTGTTACCAGTGGAGAATATTACCCAAGTGAGTAATGATAATGTTTAAATTTTAGGATTTGTCTAAAGTTATAGTGGTCGGTTATTTTTAGGAATTTGCATAGGACACTTTGTTTAAAGTCATTTTAATATTCTTAAAGGAATCGGCCTATAGAACCATTTACATTTATGAATAAGAATCGAATGTAAACATTGATTGATTGGAAAATTCCATTCCATTGACAGTGTCGGAACCTCTGCTGCTTATTTATTCCAATATTGATATAGTAAATATCTACGTACGTTTATAAAAGTTCAATTCAAAGCAGTTGCCTTTGAAGAATAGTCCTGAAAAGTTGACTGCCCTGACGGCAGAAACATGTGAAGAGCCAGCGAAGAAGAAGAAGGCTGGTGCCCGGGACTTGTTACTTCGGTATCATATAATTTATTTATATGAAAAGGCCAAAGGGCGATGTAATATAGATACGAAATAAATACAGCCAACCTATCCGACAACCACCTAGAATCCTGTCGTTGGCTAAGAGGACGGAGGCGGAGATGATTGTACTTGAGATTTCCCGGTCACCCTTGTGAAGAAGAAAGCGGATACCCAGATTTTGTGTGGGTTTTTGTCATATCAACAACGTCACTAAGAAAGACAGCTATCCGTTACCGAAAATTCACGACATTTTAGATACTATTGCCGGATCAAGAATATTCACAAAGTTAGATTAATAGTTGCTATCTCCAAAAAATAAGGAAAAACGACTTTTTTACCCTTGGATCGGGATTATGGCAATTCACCGTTATGCCATTTGGATTGTGCAATGCGTCAGCCACTCTTGAGCGATTAATGGAATCAGTTCGTAAGGGGTTATCCTGAAAGAAGGGTTGCTGTTATCAAAATTTAACCCCTCGAATAGGCATCTAGCCCCTCGTGCGGAATATGCCATGGTAGTAATGTTTGCCTTATACAATATCTCCTTACGTTTCTTACGCCACTCGGAGAACGCTATCGGTCAACCTTTCTCGCTTGACTTATTTGCCACATAACTAAATTACGCCACTGCGAATCAGATCTACGGGTAACTTTCCGTGCTAAGTTCACGACACCGCGTTTTGCTTTGTTTAATATCGCCCAGAGTTTGTAATGTACAACATCGCGATCCTAGGAGGCGGAGTGATAGGGCTGACTACGGCGGCCGTTCTTCAAGATCGCCTCAGCTCCACGGCGAATATTACCGTCTACGCCGACCGACTGTCGCCCAACACCACCGGTGACGTTTCCGCCGGCCTGTGGACACTTTTTCTCATCCAGGACCCTGATCTGGACAAAATTTTGTAAGTGCAAATTGTCTTAGTTTTGACTTAGCCGAACACCATCAGAGCGTGGGGGAGGAGAACCTATGAGTGGGTGTTGCAATTGTGGAAGGCTGGACATGCGGGCGAGGCGGGTATTGCCCTGCAACCAGTCAAGTTGCTGTTGAACGATGGAACGCAGTCGAAGAATGCGAGCGTCGTCTTCGGCGAATGCCCGATGGCTAAGGTCCAGGTGGAGGAGGTGAACAAGGCTTTACAAGTGGAATTCCAGTGAGTGACTGGAGGGTTCTTGGCTCTTTCATTAGTTCCTTTAGGGCAGGTGTCAACTACGTCACGTTTACTTGCCAAATGACAAAGTACCTACCGTTCTTGCAGCGCAGATTCGTTCAGGAGGGTGGCAAAATTGTGGTGAGGAGAGTGGATAGCTTAAACCAGCTAGGTGAATATGATGCGATTGTAAATTGCAGTGGAATGGATGCATCTTCTTTGGTGGGGGATGACCAAATGTCACCCATAAGAGGCCAAGTTATTAAGGTATCCACCAGTCCTTCTGCTGCAGGTTAATGTATCCTAAGTTTTTAGGTGGAAGCTCCATGGCAATTCTCCACTGTGCTAGCGGGTGGTAGTTACGTCATCGTTAAGTGAGTATTGATACCGGAGACTACGACTGGGATTATACGTAATCTTGCAGTGAGGAGAGTACAGTTCTGGGCGGTACTGCGCAGATTGGAGACTATGGACAGGATGTACGCAGTTCTGATTCGGAAAAGATTCTTCGCAACTGTACCAAACTGGTACCTTCACTTAAAGTAGGTAGTTTGACTGATACCACCGACTTATATAAACCTCTAGAACACCAAAGTAATCGCTCACATGGCGGGTTTACGTCCGGGAAGAACGCGCGTGAGATTGGAGACGGAAATTAAGGAAATTGCCGGAAGGAGACTACCTGTCATTCACAACTACGGACACGGAGGTTCGGGAGTAACGTTATCTTACGGATGTGCTTTGTCAACGCTACAGCTGGTCAAGGAGGCGCTCAAAATCAACCTCAAAAGCAAAATGTGATTCGGAATCATCTCACTAACCTATAGACCTAAAAACAATTTATTGGAATACAGATTTAGCATTTTTTATTAGTGCAAACTGTTCCGTAATCCTTCACGCACCAGCAAGTGTTGCAGTTCTTCAAGTGGGTCTCTCCAACGGAACAATGTACCAAAGTGGTTGGTGTTCCAGAGCTGAAGATTTGCGCATAGTCGATTGTGTTCTTAGTTAAGAAGGTTCACTTACCAATGCTTGTCGGTGCAACCCAGCGTTCCGGACGTATCGCAAACGCAGTCGTTGCACTCGTTCTGCTTGTAGGGAACGCCAACCTTGCAAACTGAAAACAATCGTACTATATTGCGAGTTTAAGACCGGGTTTAGGCTTACCAAAGTTCGCCGAGGTGCAGACGACGACAGTGCAAATAACCAACAAAATTGCAAGCTTCATGGTGTGTTTCTAGACGAACTCGGCGCCTTTGACATTTATATCCACCATTATCGTTATCACTTTTGTAGAGATATTTGGTTTCTAATTAAGGATTTGTACATTTGACCTTCCCGATTGGGCTCAGAGATAAAACAAAATGGAGCGGTAAACAAGTCATGTCGAATAAAGCATCTGACGCCATCATTAAGTATGTTTACATAGCGTCATGCAATCAATGGAAGAGAATATGTATGTGGGCAGCCATACAGACAGTCCTGCAAAATGTTTCGGTAGTTTTTTGTAACAGGTTGTCCATGTCGCGATCTTTTACTAACAAAAGAGACATAATTATTTGGACGCAAAGGAAAAATTTTTCAAAAACAATCATTTTTTCGTAATAACAACGCCCGCAGTACTTAACAGCAGCGGTCGAGAAGAGATTTTGTGCGTAAAACAAGACGAGAACATAAAATGTGTTACGCACACAACCAGGAATTGTCAGGGAAACCTTCGTCGGGACAAAAACCCTTTCATAATAAATAAATAAATAAATAAATAAACAAGAAAAGCAAAAGAAAATCCACGAAACATTTCAAATTGTGTAACAGAAAAAATCAGATCACGAACTTCAAGATTCTAGGAACGTCATATGTTTTTCAAAAACAACGTGCGTCGTTCCAGCTGGTTGTCGAACGTCCCAAGAGATAAACTTGTTCGTCGATCTTCCTGTTTTCGATATTTTAGTAAAGTTGAGCTAGCCGTGGATACATTGAAGGCAAAATTCTAACAGTAAAAAAAAACTTGCAATGTCCTGGTATGGATTCCGCTCTGTTGTCACAATGCGCCAGTTTTTTCCACCTACCCTCCCTATGGCACCCTCTCATACGGCATTTGAGCTAAGAAACCATGAACATTTTTTTTGTTCAATCTCCTCCAAGCCGTTTCCAAACACCAGTACTCACCGTACGAACCTTGTGTAACGTAGATTAACTAATGGCCCAAGTAAAAACTGTCCGTGAAAACTCCGTAGTGCTTTATCTGTTGATAAACAAAGTATAATCAGCTCTATAGAATATCTTATCACATGTTGTTAACTTATTATCTAAATACACAAAAAAACATTATTAATATTTAAACAGATTTCCTAAAGATAACGAAGACATGTAGTTGTAGTTGTTGTTTTTGGTGAATAAATAAATTTTTGTTTAATGCTTAACCAGTATGAAGGGATACTTACAGCCAGGAAGACTGGACGGTACACCGAAAAACTGTTCGGCAGTAATTAATTGATTAATATTCATTTACCTACATTCATAAAAACAGGCGCCAAAGACCAAAAGAAAGACAAGAATTGACATGAAATTCACACAAAAGAGGGAAAAAACCGTAGATCTAATACGAGCCCTAAGTAGCATGGTGAGTATAAGAAGCCGAAAAAAAGAGGGATCAGCGCCATTGGGGGAGGGGGGAGATCTTGGTTACAGACATCTCTCTACGTACAGGGTGTCCGATTAATAATGGTCACAGGTTATATCTATGGAACCGTTAATTGCACAGCTTCGGGAAAAAAAATTTGGTAACAAAAGGGGCCAAGAGAAATCGCTGGAAATTATTTTCAAGTTTCTAACTTTGCCGCTAGAGGGCGTATGATTCATGGTTAGGTAGAAAAATGACTTTTTTCCTAAAATGTACCCAACAAACATGCATAAAAAATACATGCATAGTAATCTTGTATCAATTTTGCATCATTTTGATGGAGCACAAATTGCTCTAGCTCATAAAATATGAGGAGTGGGGGAAGGGGAACATCTCTTTAAAGAATTGATTGTAACAGGTTAACAGATTTTCACAAAATAGGTCTTGTTGGAAGGACCTCTCTTCGCGGAATCAGATTTTATTAAATAGAGTCTTTTTAGTAAATGTGATGAGAGGGCGCGATGTGACATTAACATACACTTTGCAGGTTTTTTTGGTAATTTCAAATGGAATGATATTATTATTATATGATATTATCAAATAAGGTGAAATAGTGAGAATATCAGTGAAAACCGGATTTTGATATCTGTTTTCTAACCATAGATCTGGCGAAAATACGAATACATTCACAAATTTGAATTGCAATATTGATGCTCATTCAAGTTGGCTTTGAAACAAAAGAAAACAGAACAAAAGAAAGTTCAGTCCTTTCATTAAACGTATTCGTGCGAATTATCACCACGATGGATGCCCGGCACATTTCTTGGTAAGCGGGAGTCGAGGCGAGAGTGTTTGAATTTGAGTTATCCTGGCAAATGGATAGAAAAAGGAAGTATTTTTTCATGACCAGCTAGGTCACTCGACTTAACTTGCTTAGACTTAAATTTGTTTGAAGGGATAAAAGACGCACAGTCTTTCTAACAAGGCCAACTACAAGAAACGATATGGTGACGAGAATTAGAAATGTATTTCATAGTCATGGCTGAAGTTAAAGCAACTGTTCTCGCTACACAGCAGAGACTCGTCTTTGTGTCGAAAATAATGGCAGACATTGAACATTTCGTTAATTATAATTATTATTTCTTTTATTATTTACTTAATTCATATTTCTCTGATTTAAAGTTTGAATCATTTTTTTGTTGCTCAAAATTAAAAAACTTAGATTGAGTGTTAATTTTGAACTGCCATCGCCTCATTCACTTTGACATAATTATCGGTTGCTATGTGTTCATTTGTTTCAAATCCAATTTGGATGAATATAAATATTGCAATTAAAATTTGTGAATGTTCGTATTTTCCCCATATCTCTGCTTAGAAAACAGATATCAAAATGCGGTTTTCACTGATATTTTCACTTTTTCATCTTATTTGATAATATAATATAATAATTATATCGTTCCATTTGAAATTTTTTAAAAAACTTGCAAAGTTTATGTTAATGTCACATCGCGCCCTCTACCACTTATCACATTTACTAAATAGACTCTCTTCATGTAAAATCTGATTCCACGAAGAGAGCTCTTTCCAACAAGACCTATTATGTGAAAATCTGTTAACCTAATCCGAAGTTAACATCAATTCCTTAAAGAGATGTTCCCCTTCCCCCACTCCTCATATTTTATGAGCTAGAGCAATTTGCGCTCCATCAAAATGATGCAAGATTGATACAAGATTACTATGCATGTATTTTTTATGCATGTTTGTTGGGTATATTTTAGGAAAAAAGTCATTTGTCTACTTAACCATGAATCGTACGCCCTCTAGCGGCGAAGTTACAAACTTGAAAATAATTTCCAGCGATTTCTCTTGGCCCCTTTTGTTAACAAAATTTTTTCCCCGAACCTGTGCAATTAACGGTTCCATAGATATGGCCTGTGACCATTATTAATGGGACACCCTCTACATAACTTGGACTTCTAATGACACAAACCAGGTTTGTTGGTACCTGGAGAATATAAAAATACCCCTTGTTCCACTCTCCGCTACTTTAACTGGGACTACCAATAATGCACCTGATTAAAAGTTTTGGTATTTAAAAAAAAGAGGTTAGGTACCTCTCGCCACACTTTTTAAGAGGATTTAGTCTCTGCACCACATAAGACATAATTATTTCTGCTTTTGCTTTTGATACAAATCAGTTTTGGTATCAGGAGAATATGAAGACAGCTCTGCGACTTCTGTTCATCTCAGACAGGCAGAATGCCTTTGTTGCCAGGGTATTATGAAACTACTACCTCCTCTGCTTGTACACTCTGAGATATTCTGGATTTTGATCACGATAGTAGGGAGGAAAGGGTCCACGCGTACCTAGGCCTCAAACTCGCGCCCTTTGTACTAGAGTTGACTAGAGTCGTCCAACCCCTCAACGCCACTCAGGCGCCCACGCGTGAGCTGTACCTGAGGACGCTGGAAGGGGAAATTTGCTCCAAATCTCTTTTTTTCCAAGTGAAACTCTAAGAAGTGGATGCGTTCTTTGAATAGCGGGGAAGTTCGAAGGCCCTCTACTTTACCTTTTCTTGTGAAGAAAACTAGCTCCGTTTTTGTCGGGTTGATGGACAGGAAGTATTCCCTACACCATTCTTCGGTTACTCTAAGAGCGGATTGCATCAGTCTGCATAGGGTAGTCTCAAATTTTGCCGATTATTATTGTTCTTCTAGTATAAAAACAGTCACGTCAATCATCGCAAGTAACTGCCCACTGCAAAAAACTGGTCGTCTGTGGGTTGTACACAAATTATCTATTATCTTTCTCTATCTAGCCCATGTGAAGAAAAAGAAGTATGTTTTTCAGTGTTCTTATACTAAACGACGTATAGTATGGATATGTCATCCGCAGACCCCAGCGTATAGTATCCACTGTCATCGAGGTGACAGAGGAGACTGTTTACAGTTGAGTTCCACAGAAGTGGTGCTAGCACCCCACCGTGTGGGCGTCCTCTCACCACTCTACAAGTGTGTACCGTAGTATTTCGTCACCAGCGCTGATGTACAAGGCTCTGAGATTCAGTAGTCCAGCTTCCGATGACTTTAGTTACGCCGTGCGTGGTGGCGGAAAAGTCATCTCAATTGTTTCGAAGGTTGTTTTCTCAAACACCCCTCCTATATCTATGAATACTCCCAGTGTGGACTGTTTATAGTTGATTGTTACAAATTTTCCTTTTTCTCCTACTTCTTCTAGTTGATTAAGTTCTTGTTGCGTAAAATATATTAATATTCCGCGGACGCTCGTCGGCCAATAACCCTCTTCTGGCTTCAAATATTTTTATTCAAGGTTAACGGTTCTTATTTTCATATCGCCTTCAATGTCAAAGAACACATTTTAGTAAATGGGGGGGGGGGGGGGGGGTGAGGCGAAACTATCCTGTAGGATAAATGGTTAGACCACATTCCTATGCAAAATCATACTTCGCATTGGTAGGAACTACTCAAACGTTCGTTTATAGTCGTGTGTGAAACCAACACAAGGTCAAAATGAATAAGTAGACCTTGCACGGACCGTGCACGAAATATTCTCGCTCTCTTCGTGCTCAAAATTTTTCTGGAAACTCGTCCGGGAGCTGATACGGGCTCTATGGAAATAGTACCGGGTTTTAGATGTAATTTTCGGTCTTCTGAATATCTCCAGGAAGACGATTCGCTCGGCTACGCACTATTTGGTTGCGCGAAATAGACTAGCATAGGTTCCCCGCCCGAGAAACCAGTGAAAACACACTTCTTTTGAGCACGAATTGACTTGTATTTATACCCTCTCTCCCAGTATCACTCGTAAGTAAGTTTGCGCACTCATTCTACAAACTTTTGTTAAAAATCAATTTCGGTACGAAATAGACGTATTTACGTATTGTTTCGAAGGTTGTTTTGTCAACACCACTTCTATATTTATGAATATTCTGTGTGAACTGTTTATAGTTGATTGTTAAACATTTTCCTTTTTCTCCTACTTCTTCTAGTTGATTAAGTTCTTGTGTAAATTATATTAATATGCCGCGGCTGATTTCCGGTAAATGACCCTCTTCTGGCCTCAAGGATTAAATAAAACCTCAAATATATTTTATTCAGAGTGAACGGTTCTTATTTTCAGTTCGCCTTTACTGTAGAAGAACACATTTTAGTAAATGGGGGTTGAGGCAAAACGATCCTGTAAGGTAAATGGTTAGACCAAATTCATACGAAAAATATACTATATTTCGCATTAGTAGGAAGTACTCAAACTTTTGTTTATAATCGTATGTGAAACCAACACAAGGTCAAAATGAATCACCGCTAGGTGCTAACAGAAAACTACTTATAACTTTACAAACACTCTGTACAATAAAAATAAAGCAAACTGCAATACAAATACAAAACCGATAGGCGTGATTTCTCGTTGATTCGCTGTGGAACTGGCATGGTTCTCTTAAGTAGACTTTGCACGGACCGTTCACGAAATATTATCGCATTCCTCGTGCTCAAAATTTTTTCTGGAAACTCGTCCGGGAGCTGCTACGGGTTCTATGGAAATGGTATCGGGTTCTCGATGTAATTTTCGGTCTTCTAATTGTCGCCAGGAGACGATTCGCTCGGCAACGCACTATTTGGTTGCGCTAAATAAACAAGCGTAGGTTACCCGCATGAGTATCCCGTGAAAACACTCTTCTTCCGAGCAGGAATGCATTTGTATTTATACCCTTTCCCCAAGTATCTCTCGTAATTAAGTTTGCACACTCATTCTACAAACTTTTGTCAAAAATCAACTTCGGTACGAAATAGGCGTATTTTAACAACTCGCTTGGCGAATAGCTTACTACAATGGGAGATTGCCAACTACGTCCTTAAACAGCTCAAGATGATTGATATCCTGAATGTGATTGCTAGTGTAGCGCCTTTTATGGATGCTGGTCAAAAACCTTGACCAGGTGATTTTGGACCATATCCGCCTGGTTAGCCTACCCAGAGGACTATTGATATCTATAATGCTTACTTCGAGTTGCCATTCGGAAGCTTACTTGTAGCTACTGCGAGGTGCTCTAGCCTTGCTGATACCCACCTTAGTTTGGGGCTAGGGAATTTATTTTATTTTACATTATTTTATTTTATTTTATTTTATTTTATTTTATTTTATTTTATTTTATTTTATTTTATTTTATTTTATTTTATTTTATTTTATTTTATTTTATTTTATTTTATTTTATTTTATTTTATTTTATTATCCCTCTCTTGTTCTGGCTTGCGCCCAATTATAGAGTGACCCACATAATGCTTTTTAGAGGTGCCTCTGCAGAAAGTCTTAAGTTGTTCTATACTACTCCTGTATTTACCTTACGAATTAGGAAAACTGCAGGAAAACCTAATTCGGAGTAGCCGGAAGAATGCTCGAAACTGGTCTAAGGTAATTCCCATCTCTGTCACAGATAAAAAATTCACCTCAACCCAGGTTCGAACACCCGACCTCCGGATTTATAGCCCAACGCTCTACCACTGAACCACAAGGTCGGTTTGAATTTGTGGGATTGCAGAATTTATGGACCAAGCTTACCACCACACATATTAGCAACTCTACGAATTTGATTATTTCGCACATGTTTGTTTTGCAGTTCATTCAATAATTACGCGCAAACCTGTATCTGTTATTAACTTTGTTAAACAGCGAGTGAGTGCGACAATCGGACATATTTTGATACTGTTTTAAAACGCAGGAACCGTTATTCTTATGGACAATATGCCGGACTCGTCGATTGTTTATAGAAGACCTAGTAGAATGGCTGTATGGAAATATTGCAGCGAATATTCTAGAAATCCAGATAGACATGGAGATTACTCACCAGCGACAAGAAAAGACGGCGGATGTGAAGCATTCTTTTTTCGCGAAATAGAATGTGTTTTCTTGAGAATATTCCATTAACGGCACAAAATTGCTTATTTCCGAATGTTTTGCCTTCCCTAGTTGGGGCTGTAGGCTTCCCTTCTTCGTTGCCGGTCGGGTCGGTGTTGAGTCATCCGACCTCTGCCTCTTTTTTCCCGCCTACCTGTTTGCCCGCCTGACTGAAGGTAGCTCTAGGAGTCTGTCTCTTGGTCAGAATGGTTTGGTGTCATTCGGAGCAGTGTGTCACCCATTTGGGCTAGGCTGGCCTTCTTTCTCCTTTCCTGGGTAGTTTGGAGTGCATGGAAATTGGAATAGAGGCACATCGAATCGTAAAAGCTTTCCCTATCACTATCGTGCTAATTACCACTTAAAGAGCAATATGCTCAATGGTCAATGGTCATTGGTCAATGGTCAAGTTTACGTTTGGAAACATCTTCAACTCCTCATCAACTACGTAAACAAAAGACTTATGAAAGAAACAGAAAGTAATGATTGAGAAAACTGATGCTTGTTTCTGGTGTTTGACAATTGGTCACACGTCCACGAAATGCAAGAAAAATTCCGATTTGAGTCATGTAACCGCATTATCAAATTATGGAAGTGTCTCGACCGACTAAGGTGCTTATTACTGTGAAGGAGGTAGTTGGTACAGAACCAGTGGTTTCAACAGCTTTAGAAACAAGAGTCATTCAAACACGTCGAGGAAGAATTGTGGAGAAGCCGTGTTTTGTCCGATCGCGGCGATTTCAGGAGACAGAGTGGCTAGAAGGGGAGGTGTCATTCCCACGGACACCTTCACAAACTGCTACACAGGATGACCCAAAGAAGTCACCTGCATCGTGATTTTGTGGAGGACCTTTGAACAAACAAACATCTTAAATGAAGTGCTCAGGCTTAAGGTGGGAGGATGTGAACTAAATCTGAAGATAAAGAGAGAAAAATAAGTAGATCAAAGGGGTCCTATTCAAAAACAGTTTCACTTTTCCGTGTTTCGGGTCAAGTGGCAAAAGTTAAATTAATGCTAATCTAGAAACCGAAATGTTACTGTCAAGCAACAGGTGTTTAGATAGCATGTCTAAACGATGTTATTATTTATAGATTATCTATAATAGGCAGTTATCGCCGGAATAACAACTTAATAGCTCCAACGTCGCATTAAACAATATCGACTACATTTATATAGACCAGAAAACAGTGCCATTAGACAATCAGAACAAATCAGAATGAAGTATCAGCTGCTTGTCCTGTGGGTGCTTGCGCTAGTTGCTTTTTCCGGGGCTGAATTTCGTAAAAGCCGCGTAGTTTTCCGGTGTCCAAGTTTAATAACTTTTCTATTGCAGATTGCGAGATGGGCACACCTTACGTCGAGAACGGTTGCAACTCCTGCAACTGTATGATGGGAAATCTGCTGGCGTGCACAGAAAAGGCCTGGTGAGTGTTGCCATGGACAATATTTTGTCAGTCTAATTTTAACAATTCTCAGTCCGGGAGACGATTATAATAAATCGTTTAATTGCGTCGAGGGTACCGTTAGCAAGCGAGGCTGTAACACGTGCACTTGTTTTAAGAGCATGGGAACTATCTGCACCAACAAACGATGTGATGATTAGTTAGTAATTTGGTACTCATTTAATAAAGAATTGCAAAGAATTTTCTTAGTCTACTAATTTACGAACACAAAATGTGAGAAAGCGCCCCCAGGTTCTTCACTAGAAGCCCCCTACCCTACTCTACCCAAATTCTCTGAACGATTTTCCTGGGAAGAGCTGTGGTAGTGACCCTGGGCGCATCCCTTAAAGAACCAGACTCGTTTAGTAAGCTTTCTGGAACGCATTCTAACAAAAGAGGGTAGCTAAGGATTTGAGAAGAACCTCACTAATGGCGCCCTAGTTTCGAATGGAACAGCTCATTTTGAACGGATAAAGAAGAACCTCTAGGTTAAATTCTCCCCTTGTAAGGAGTGGAGTGATGGCGTACGTGACGTGGGGGAACTGTTTGGCGAGAACGAAAAGCACAACAGAGGAAGGCATTTTTCCAAGAGCACCGACAGCGCTATCAAAACCTGTAAGATCTTGGAATTTTCTCTTAATTTTTTTCGAAAGTCAACACCTCGGACGAGATAGCGTTCGCAATGGGTGAGACAGTAGCGGAAATGGTTAGAAACAACTCCTCTCCTTCACTGATCCCTTACCCAGAGGAATTTAAGATCCCTGCGGTGAACCTAATAAGAGAAAAACTCAAGGCGATTCAAAATGATTCTAGGGACATTACCAAAAAGATTTTTGGGACTAGAAGATAAGAATAAAATCGTGTGCAGAGAGGTTCAAGCATAAAAACCAAGAGGTGATTGCCGGTACATTGGTTTTTATTCGAACGTACAATTTTGCAACGCGAGGTCCGGTAGTTACAGAATTCTACAATATCAGTTTCGGATTATCGCGACACTAGGGAAGTAATAAACAGTTAACATGATCTTTGTGTATTCGCGTTTTCGTCACATAAAGGAGAGCCGAAGACCCGGTTAAGGTCAAGCTAATTAAGCGCGCCAGTATTACCATAGCTATTGTTAAAAATTCAGTATATTTGTTTGCTGCCCGTGAAACAAGAGAGAAGATTGAACTATATCTTCGTGGTCATAAAAAGTGCAAAGTTGTTTGGGATAGTATAAGACTCACCGAAGAAAATGATCGCATGACAAAGTTCCAAGTTGCAGCTCCGTTGTCTGTGTTTTTATATGGCTGTAAAATTAAACGTCTGACTCTAAGAAACACATCGTAAACTATACAGGGTGTTTTTTTGGGAGCTTTAGTTAAAAGTTTCTGGGAAAGTAAAATAGGTAGGTTTTTGAAAATTTGTACTTAGGAGTTACTCTGAAGGCCGAATCGATGTAAAATATTTTCAAAATGGCCGCACTTCCGGAAACACTGGAAGTAGATAGTAACTTTGTTATTTTAAATGGCAACCCCTATTTTTTATTGCATTTTTGGATTCTACGTGAAATTTCAGTTCTTTTGATACCCATATGTCGATATCTGCCATTTATGGTTTTTAAGTTATTTTGACTTTAAGAAAAAAATTGGCGGATGCAGATGGTACCTTGATAATTGATTACTTGAAAACGGTTGTAGTCATGGCAACCCATTTTTATCAGTGCATAGAGAATGAATAGGGCTTTCTTTTAGTGCACTTAAAAAAAGTTAAGTTGCGTACGACCGCCCCTATGGATATCCAACTTTATGAAACTTCAAAAACTAAAAACTCAGTTTTTTTAAATGGAATGACCATGTTCTTACTACTCCATGAGATAGAGAATCGAAATGGGCATATTTTGACTATACATGTTCCTATAGCTATCTTTAACAGTTTCTGACTTATTCCCATTTTATTGAATTGACACTATTTTTTTCGGATTTTCTTTTTAGTAGTCGGCCATGATTCTATAACAATTGAATTTTAAACAAATCTAGTGACACTAATCCATCACCCACTGTTATAGGTTAACAGTTTTTCAAAAATCGAAAAATGACTCGCAGTGGTTTCACTTATTTTGGAATTTAATTGTTATTTATGGTGAAATGGGCAGAATCGCGGCGCGTGCTTTCCGTACATTCATTCGAAAACTGGAACGAAATTGTATGAATTTTGGAAATTTTGTACCCCTAATGCACTACAAACCGTTGAAGCACAAGTGATACAAAGCTCTACAAGAGAATATTTAAGAAAATGAAATGAATTGCAAATGCAAGATTAACATATTAAATTCAATGCAAAATATAAAAAACTTCGTTGAAACATTTTTGGTATGGAATTGTTGCTAGAACAGATATCGCATTACCTCTCTTAATTTCCAGACTTATACGTTGTTTAAGAAATTCAGTTGAACGACTCTGTTTAGATTTTTCAAAAATTTTCCGTCCTATATCCTTAATAATGAGTTACCTATTTATTAATGAATTATTTAGACTAGAACTAGAATCAATGGTATTAAGGAATCCATTCCTTGATTTGTTTAAAATTCGATTGTTATAAAATCATGGCCAACTACTAAAAAGAAAATGCGAAAAAAAATTGCATCAATTCCGAGATCAATTCAATGAAATGGGAATAAATCAGAAACTGTTAAAGATAGCTATAGGAACATGTAATATCAAAATATGCCAATTTCGATTCTCTATCTCATGCAATATTTAGAACATGGTCATTCCATTTAAAAAAACTGAGTTTATAGACTTTGAAGTTTCTTAAATTTGGATCTCCATAGGTGCGGTTGTACGCAACTTAACTTTGTTTTAAGTACAGTAAAAGAAAGCCCTATTCATTCCCTATGCACTGATAAAAATGGGTTGCCATGACTATAACCTTTTTCAAGTAATCAATTATCAAGGTACCATCTGCATCCGCCATTTTTTTTTCTTAAAGTCAAAATAACTTAAAAACCATAAATGGCAGATATGACATATGGGTATCAAAAGAAACTGAAATTTCACGTAGAATCCAAAAATGCAATAAAAAATAGGGGTTGCCATTTAAAATAACGAAGTTACTATCTACTTCCGGTGTTTCCGGAAGTGCGGCCATTTTGAAAATATTTTACATCGATTCGGCCTTCAGAGTAACCCCTAAGTACAAATTTTCAAAAACCTACCTATTTTACTTTTCCAGAAACTTTTAACTAAAGCTCCCAAAAAAACACCCTGTATTTGATTCCAGTAAAAAAAAAAACTGAGTAAAAAAATTTTTTATTTGTACGTTCTTAAAGAGATCGACCAGTGGGAATTTGAAGCCGTTCTGGTATTACATGTATTATTTTCCCATTTTGAAACTCCCTAGAACTAGATTTGTTAGATAATAAAATAAATCGATTGGTTCAAACTTCGCATTGTAAGAACACCCATAGTGGACGAGCGAATTTAACTTAAATCTTTATCACTTCGGCATTGATGTTGAAACTTTTATCAAATCAATTCATTTTGCTTATATAGCAAACAAGGAATTATAGAGAGTTCTCCAATAACCATAATAAATATACTATACTGATTTTGTCCTTCAATCGTTCTGTTTGTCGGCAAAAACAGGTCTGATTCTGTTAAAGGGAATTATTCCTACTGAACAGAGCCGATTTGATTTTAATGTTTGTTTTGTTTAACCGAGCTGTTTCTGATAAACAAAACTCGAAACCGAATCCAATGAACTTGGATCATTCTCAGATCTCAAGTTCAAAATGCGTTAATAACGGTATACGTTACTAAACACAACATATTTCCCTGAAAGGCTGCACCACAGCCGCGTTCATTGCTTGTCACCTTGATGGTGATCTGATGGCGCCTCTATGTCGCTCTAGAAAATTCGCTACAATATAAACAAAAAATACTAACAGGGCGATATTGCACACAATTTATCTTTTTTCTTACCTATCAATCAAATATCTGCAAGTTAGGTCATTTTTGAAACTTCTAAATAAATTGGTTGGGTAATACTAACAAATCTAACGGTATCCTTTGTTACTCAAAGCTGACTCGGTTTTTCTTAATTTGTAAGGTTGATGGGGGGTTGTATTTAAGTGCTTTTCGCCACTATTGTCTGTCCTGGTATGTCCATGGCCACTCTTCGTCTCCCCCGTGGGGTTAGGAGCTCCACCTTCGTTTGGGGGGGGGGGGCAATTGTAATTTTTTGTTCTCACACTCGATGACAGTTTGTATTGCTCACAGGAGGTTTCCCACTAAAACTGGCTTTGTTGTAAATACAAATGTGAAGGTGATTTTTGGTGGTGGATAACTTCACTTGGTCGGGAACTTTAAAAACGTCATAGAAAGGCCGCACTTCGCGATTACTGCGCGAAACTTGACTTGAACTCTAAAATTCACTTTTAGAAGGACGTATTAAAAACTCTTAGAGCTCAATATAGATTTTCTTGTACCAGAACTTTACAAACAACAAGACTGACTGTCGTTCACAAAAAAAATGCTAACCCAAAAAGTCCTGTTTTTCTTCTGCCATGCCTATTTCACGACCCTTCTCGTCTTGTAACTTAGATTCTTCTTTATCATTTTTTTAACGTTAGAGGATCATATCCACTAGAAAAAACGGCCAGCTCTCCTTGTCGTCTATTTTTAATATGCGTCTTCGATGAACTAACACCTGCTTATCTCCAAATTAATTAGCTTTTACGAAGCGATAACGAACTTATTATCGCATGACCGGATTTAAAATTTGTAGGAAACTACGAACGCAATTACTTTCAGCTGTCACGTAATATGTTTTTTAATGTCAAAAAACCCATACATTTTAATGCTAAACGATGGCAGTCTGATCAGGAGAATTATTGAAATTATTGATCACGTTTGGCGCATTGAAAACATCTACCATCATCGACTTATGATGCATCCAATTCTTCATATCATCTTTATATCTATGATATGCGGGAGTTTCAATATTTTCTGAATACTTTTTTTTCCAATTATGTAGTTTCCCTAGATCACTCAGTCCAATGAGACTTTTGCAATTATTCCGTTTCCTGTAGCTCTTATACATTTTTTTATCAATTTTGCAGATCCGTCAGCACTATTTGAATCCTTGGAGTTTTTCGGATCCTTCAAAACTCCTTTGATTCTTACTTCCTGAAATCCTTCCAGTATAACACATTTTTCGAATTCGTCATACTGTTCAAAGCGAGGTTCAAAGCCTTTAGGATTGAAAGTCTACTCGTCTGGAACTTGAAACAATGCGGACGATTGGGATTCTTCAGATTATGGGAACTTTCTTGATCTGTAACTCATCGTTTTTCCTCAATTACGCACGTGTGGAAGAAATATCGAATCATCGATTTGGGAAAAATTGATTTCTGGGTTCGAACAGGGGGCAGGCAATACACCGAAGTTCGAAGAATGGCAAAAGGAATAAAAAAAAGAACAGTAATTAAGTTCCATTTTATTTGCGACATGTCTTATTCGTACAAATAGTTCCTCGACCTCCAACGCACTCACAAATGTTACACCCTCTTTTCGTTACAGTCCCATCTTTACAGTTTAGGAGTTGCTCAAACTCCCTCGAAAAGCTGCAAGCAGCCGCCCCCTCAGACACCAATTTCCAAAGCGATAGATACTCACCATGGATAGCTGGAGCAACCCAGATCGCCGTACGGATCGCAAAAGCAGGTGTTGCAGTCGTTCTCCAAATAATAGACGCCCTGCTCGCATTCTACAAATCGAACAAGGAATAGGAACGTCACGAGGCGGGATACTTACTAAATTTGGACTCGACGCCCAGGAAAACGACAAATAAAACGACAAACTTGAGGCAGCGCATTTTCGTGAACAATTTAGATGAAACTAAAATTATTGTCGTAAACAGCGGGGCAAGACGCCGCGCAAAGATCATTTCGGCGATGATCTTTTGACCTTGCACCAGTTCATCAACATCGTTTTACCAGTTCAAGTGGAGGTTAGATTTAAATCGAACATGAGTTTCCAATGCAGTATCACCTGCGTTCGTTTCAGGTTCTTATTTTGAAACGTTTTTCAACTCACTCAAATAATTTATTAAAAGTCCATTTAACGTTTCGTATTTTTGAGATGTTCTGCACGATCTGCAGGCCTGCAATCTATGATGCTGCGATGTAGCACACCAAAGAGCAGTAGGTCACTGTGGGTTGAACGATCAGCGCCAAAGTGCGCGTTATGATCAGAACCAATAACTAGGTTTGTATGCAATTTTGCTGTAAGAGATAAGGCCCCCCTGCGGTGAATGCGCCCTTGGGAGCGTTTTGGATTGGGAGATTCTCACACCTGAATGACTTTAAAGATCGTCGCCATGGATCAACCTCCCTAGTTAGCGACCGTGGCGACGACTGCGTGTCACTGGAGTGCATTATGGCTGCATTTATTTATTATTTACTATTTATTATTTATTATTTATTATTTATTATTTATTATTTATTATTTATTATTTATTATTTATTATTTATTATTTATTATTTATTATTTATTTCATAATCATTGTCGCGCTGAATTCAGTTTCTGAATTTTTTAATTTCTGCATATCATCTTTCATCTGTCATTCGTCATCCGTCATCTGTCATCTGTCACCTGTCATCTGTCACCTATCGCCTGTTACCTGTCACCTGTCGCCTGTCATCTTTCGCTCAATGACAGAGTGACCCGCATAATGCCTTTTAGAGATGCCCCTGCTATGTAGCCCAATGCTCTACCACTAAATCATTGCCGCGCTGAATGGCCAGATTAAGTTTCTGAATTTTTCAATTTCTAAAGTATTCACAAGTTGCATAGCTTCCGTACACCAGGGTCCATCTATCATCTTTCAGCTGTCATCTGTCATCTGTCATTCGTTATCCGTCATTCGTCATCCGTCATCCGTCATATGGCATAATGTCATCTGTCAACTGCCATCTACCATCTGTCATCTGTCATCTGAAATCTGTCAGCTGTCATCTGTCATCTGTCATCTGCCACCTGTCACCTATCACCTGTTACCTGTCACCTGTCATCTTTCGCCCAATGACAGAGTGACTCGCATAATGCCTTTTAGAGGTGCCCATGTAGCCCAACGCTCTACCACTAAGTCGCACAGTCGGTTGACGAAATGGCAGGATTCCGCAATTTTCTACGTCAAAACATGCTGACATTACCATGGACATCACCCTATCATGGTTTTTTTCTAAAATCCATTTCATATAATTTCCATGGCCGTAAACCTGGAAAAGATCGGGGTTGTCCCATTTACGAATAGCCGATGACGTTAACTGTTTCTCACCGTGTAGGCACTTTTGGACCTAGAGCCGCCACAGTTAGCTGTGAAGGCAGAGGATCGTAAGGCTTCCCATAAAGCTAAACGAATTGGGGCGAGCGGAAGGATCAAGGCAGCACTGAGCACGGGCGGATCTGGGAGAAAACGAGGGACAAGCCACTGTGGCAGTCTGGTGTAAAACCTCTAGGAATTCTTATGGAATTTTTATGGAATTTTTATGGCATTCTTATAGAATTCTTATGGAATTCATTTGGAATTCTTATGGAATTCATGGAGTTTTTGTGGAATTCATGAAATTCTTGTGGATTTCTGGTGGAATTCTTGTGGAATTCATGGAATTTTCTCAATACTAATGGGACCAACTACTCCAAACACACTAGGAGCGCATTCAGTCTTAGTAACGCTAATATTGATATATGCTATATGCAAAAAAAAATCATATACAAGCAAAAACGTACAAAAAGTCGTACGTTTTCGTCAATAATTGAGTAATTATTTGCTAGAAAAATTAGTTTCGCGATATAAACTCGACAACCGCCCCGTAACCTACTTGGCTCCGCCATAATTTTAAACACGTACATAAATCAAGCTTCTTGTTGTCGTTCTTAATGCACCTACGGGTATACTATCTCCACTGTTATAAATGCACTTTATGTGTAACTCGTGAAGTCTATTGTACTGTTTTCTGCACATTAAACAACATCAGTGTACGACGAAACCGGAAAAACCTCTAACAAATCGCTTTTCGTTTTTTTTTAAGTTTCAACGGATTGAGTTAATTAATTTTACGAAGCGCTCAATTAATTAACTGCCTTTGTGTAAAATGCGATTAATTCTTTCGACGAGATTTAATACAATTCGCGTTAGCTGTTCCCAAAGCAAAGTCCAATTACAAAAATGTGACATTAAACAGAGGAATAATTTTGTACAGGTCTTATTGACGCTAATCGAGTGCACTAAGATTAACCATACAATAAGAGTTGCAAACCTACTGGGCACAGAGAAATAGCAACTCGAATTATGTTTCGTTATTTGGCGGTAGTCCAAAAACTGGTAGATTTAGCCCTCAGCCATCGCTGGATACCACGGTTACTAATTAAAAACCTTTTTATGAGCTCGGCGAGTACATAAGTAAAAATTGGGTGGGAGAATGGGATTCTTAACCAACTTCGAGGCAAATCTACGTACTGTAAGCGCATTCATTTTCTATGAAACAAGAAAATTTCGTCGTGTAATGAACGCTAATGAACGGCGGATGTACTTTCAGCCGTGACTGGTGAAGTGTTACCTCTTAAAGCGTAACCGAACAAATTCGTTTCGTAGTATTACTGGATTAGCATGCTCTCGATTTAAATAAATTGTTACCACGAAAGCGTTAAGGTCGAAGATACAAAACAATTCATTGCGCTATATTTGAAGTGACAAGTTACGCCAATAAAAACTGTACACTGCTCTTGCGTATACGGGGTGTAATTTCACCTACACCAAAGGGCAACTGGTAAAAAGTTTAGACAATTAATTCCTGCTTTTGTTTTCTGTCAAAACACTAAGTTATAAGGGTAATTTAGGACCTAACCGTACTGCGTAACTTTGCTAATTTTTCGAGATTCACTTGGAACGATTAAAAAAATTTTACCTGACCAAGCAAAAGGCCCAATATTATTGTACAAAGCGTTCCACCACCCCATTTTCCAAGCTGCTGTTACCCTTTCAAAGGAGATAATCGACTGTCGACTGGGCAAAATTTTGGCTCATCGATAGATGTGTCATTTCAAATTTTTTGCATTGTTTTATTTATTTTATTTTATTTTTAAAGTTATTCTAACATTCCCGAAGAGGTCGGCCCACGGGAATTTATCGCGTGAACAAGTTTGTCCTTTTTTTATGAATGATCGAGTGCCAGTATGAGTGTAACAGATCAAAAAGCCCTAAAACGCCTTTGATTCTTCGATTACTACGGACTTATTCTCTTCGCACCCCTTGGTAGGATTCATTGGTACTCCCTCACTGGAAAAAAAAAATCTAAAATAGTGCGGTGTGAAGGGTATCAACAAGTTTTGGGAGTTATAGATATATCGCTCACTTAGAAAGTGTAGAACTTGTTGTTATTCTGGGAATAAACAATGTGGAATATCAAAAGATATTAGATATTTAAAAAATTCGGGAACATGTCAAAAAGAAAGTCGTGGAACTGAACATGAAACTCCAAAAAATGTACTGGCTCCTGGGAAGATACTCCGAGCTCTCAACGTACAATAAGGTATTACTGTATAAACAGGTAATACGACCAGTGTGGACATATGGGATCCAGATATGGGGCTGTGCTAAAAAGAACCACATCGATAAAATCCAAACGTTTCAGAATAAAGTGCTGCGCAATATAGCCAATGCACCTAAGTACGTTCGAGCAACCGACCTGCACCGTGACCTCGGAGTGGAGATGGTTAGCGACATCATTAAGAGACATGCTGTCTCACATGCAAATAGAATAAAACAACACATCAATGAAGAGGCGTCCAGGCTCATGATGTCTCGTTTTACCCTTAGGCGGCTCAAGAGGACGAAACCGTTCGAGCTGACATAAATTCAAAAACAACTAAGGACGTCCATTGGGACAAACTTAGCTATCACGCGCGTAGGAATCGTAAAAGACAGACACAATCGTTACTTCCTAGGAAATAGTTTCTATGTTATATGAAAAAAAAAAAAAAAAAATTCGGAAAATCGTAAGGACAAGCACGAGCTGTATTGGACAAAGAGAGGAATACAGAAGAACGCTGTACGAACGGGAAGAGAAGAATACAGACACATCTGGGAAGGGAAAAATTAATGGAAATTCAACAACATGACAATACTTAACGCAGACAAGGGTGGGAAAAGGAATATACGAGATACAGTACTGCGATAGAAAAAGAAAGAAATAAGAGCTGAATGAGCAACAGGGACGTACAAAAACATTGAAAGAAAGAAAGATAAAGACAGAAACCATGTTAAAGAATTAAGGAAATCAAAAACAAAAATTTTTTTTTAAGTTACAAAATAAAAAGGGAAAGCATATAGGAAAATGAGAAACCTCGACTCTGTGACTGAGAGAAAAAGAAGAGGGAGTTTACAAGGAAAGGGTATGTGAAATTCAAGAAAAGAAAATGCGAGTGAAGGAAGAAAATTGGCCACAAGTGATGGACACGTGAAAAACCGGCGAAGAAAAGGAAACTGAAAGAGAAAACCGGAGAACATCTTGATAAAGGGTCGAAAAATCAGGCATAATCTGGAGATATGTAAAGGAACAAGGTCTGAAAGGAAGAAGCGTGAAGAAAGAACGGAAGAAATCTTAAGGGACGGGCGGGCCAAAATCAAGCGTGCAAGAATCGTGAATGGTAGACCAAATAGGGAGTAAAAGAAAGAGATTAGAAGAAAGTACGAAAAGAGTGTGGAGGAAGAGTTTTTAAGAAGGGGGATAAAAAGAAACATAAAAAATACGTGAAAGAGACGTTACTGCAGGAAGTGCAAACAACACACGGTGAACAACTCATGTAAATGAGTAACGAAGAAAGCTTCAAGAAGATATGAAATATACGCGAACCAAGTAGATGTGAAAGAAAGAATGAAGAAGGCAGTACAAATGTTAGGAATCTTTATCCCCAATTAAATTAGTGCATAAAATTCCATTCCTCGACATCGAGTTGGGACAGCCTTCTTAATCATATTTGGCTTAAATAGCCAAGATTTGAGGCAAATCCAGGGTTCCAGATAAAACAATCACCCCGTATAACGCTCTGCTATACTAGAGGCATTCTTCGATGATTTACCCCAATGTGGGATATACGTCACACACATTTCCCAATATCATTTTGTTATTAATTCTATCCAAACCTAATCCTATGCGTCCTCAACTATACGTCAAAATTTTCCACCGTAGTTTGCCATCATGGAGCAAATATTATCAGTGCCTCATCAAACAGCGCTTTGAAAAACATTGTATGATAATGTACTTTTTATTGACTCAGTTTGGTCGTCACCTTAATCTGACTATCAAATCACGTCACAGATCTGTGGGATATAAATACCGAGCATGAATACATGCAACCATATCATCAAGTCTGAAGAATGAAGCTGTTCCTGGTACTCTTCTCGACCATTGCTGCCTTTTACATTTCGGCTGGCCAAGATGAGGGGGAATTTGGTAAGACTAACTTATAAGTTTATTGATATTTACGGACGTGTTGATAGTGTGCCAAGATAGAGCAGTCGTGTACTTGAAAAATTTCTGCAATGTATGTCACTGCAATAACGGTATCTTAAAATGCAGCAGAAATAGATGGTAAGTACGTAGTCCTGTAATAAATATCGTTCATCTAAGCGTTTTTTCGCAGTCCATGGACTCAGTATGTTAAAAATTGTACGGCCGGGAATGAGCCGTCGTACAAACGCATTACTTGTAAGTGCGTTCAGGATTTAGGATTAATTTGCGCCAAACTCAAATACCCAGCGGAAACGACACCCGGTGGCGTTGGCGAACCCTCAACAACGACACTTGGTAACACTGAAGTACACTCATCAACGACACCTGGTAACGTTGAAGGACACTCAACAACGACACTTGGTAACACTGAAGTACACTCATCAACGACACCTGGTAACGTTGAAGGGCACTCAACAACGACACTTGGTAACACTGAAGTACACTCATCAACGACACCTGGTAACGTTGAAGGACACTCAACAACGACACCGAGTGATGAGGTAGCCCCATAGGGTACTTTCCAGATTTGTTGTTGTATATTAATTGTAATCTATGGTGTAGGTGTAGACAATAAAAACCCTGGGCTTTACCATTTTACCATAGCATGAGTGGAGTGGAGGTTCATCAAGTAAGCAGTGTACAACTAATTGTATTTGGTGTTTTCCATAAGAAAGCTTTAGTGAGGTAGGCAACACACATTACTGATAACGCCCCCGTAAGTAGTGTGAGTATTACGGTTGCTCGGTTATGATTATTTGAGAACGTAGTCAGACTGACTGACGGCGACGGACACTATCTTTTTGTGGACGCTGGGAGGAGGATTAACCACCTCTATGACTAACACAGTCGTTTTATTGCTCCGAATCCCGTCAGACTTTTCTGACTTATGGAATATCGAAACCACTAGCGTAAAAGGTTCAATAGACAAGAGGTTAGGGGCGGAGAGCGACACCGATGCTGGTATTTTTTTTTAAAAGACGGTTCAAAAGGAAGATAATGGAAGGTAGTACTCACTTGGAATGGACTAGAGGAGTATTTCCCCACAAATCGTCCAGAAAGTCAGAGGAATTAAGGACGCTATTCCTTCAGACACCGTTATGGAAGAAGGAAGCCTATTGGAAGAAAATCTGGCGCTTAAAAAACAACTGGAAATGAAAAGCCAAACTCATTTTTATTAAAACCCGAGAAAATCGAATCCATTCCTGAGAACCCTCCATCCATTGACGAAGGTATTCCCCGTCCTCCTTAATCTACCACGAAGGAGACATGCAATTGCAAATCTAAAAACATACCAACCATCGACACACAATCAGAATTGACGTATCGGGCTCTCGTTACAGTGCCTCTTTGGAGTTTTCAAAATAATTAGCACGAACCTTGACCTAACCCACCAACCCTTCTACTTAAAAGAATGACAGTTGCGCAAAAACTTTAAATAACTAACCTATAGAAGATAAAAAAAACTGAATATTGTAACGTTATTTATAAATTCGGGTTCGATTTATATCAATGTTTATTAAACAAAACTAAAACACTATAAAAACTGTACAATTTATATCGATTATTTATATCACACACTTCGCAATTTATATTTCCGCGCTCGATGTTTCATTCGTACTCGATCTCGTTCGGTAGTAGACTGCCGCGATGTTCGGTCCGCAACCATTTATACACGCAAGCAATGTAAGTCCAGAACATTCGCGTACAGTCTCGAATATTCCTACACAAATCCCACTATCGCGCGCGTAGAAAATTCCAGAGCACCAAAGGCGACGTCATGTCTGGAGCGTTTCCGTTACAATATACACACTCCCTGCTATATACCGTATTTCATCTTCAAAATGGATTTGTAATAATATGATCCCTTTTCATCTCTTTCTTCTTTTTCAAATTTCTCTATTTATCATTTTTTCAACCTACTCTTGTTCAACTGATTCTTCTGAAGCCCTTCCAAATTTTCTTCAGTTCTTTACAATCATTTTTTTTTCATTTCTTCCTTTGTATAACGTTAATTGTGTCTCTAACGCAAATTTTCGTTCTAACCCCTCTCCTAACTTCTATGTCTATCTGACCCTGTCATATAATATCTGATAACGCATTGGACCTCTCAACGCCTCCATTTTAGTTAATTTTGTTTGATCGGTTGCTTTCAATATCGGTAATTTTTTCTTGTTGTGCTTTAAGTTGGGCTTCTTCGTTCTGTATTTCTCGGTCTAATCTGTTGTTTGTAATGTTGTAATGCTGATTTCCTTTGATTTTGCGAATACCGTTTCTCAAAAGTGGCGATTTGAAGCTATTGGTCCTCTTTCTTCTTCATGTTCTCCTGTTTGTTTCTCTGAAGTTTTGAGGTTAACTCTTGTGCCGTAATAAGATGTGATTTGGATAACTTTTCTTTTGATTCTTCTCTTATGTAAACTCGTTTCATTCTTCTGTGCTGATTTCTACTGCTTGCTGTCCTACTCCCTATAACTTCCCCATAATGACTGGGTGAGCCCAATATTATTTTTCATCCATCTTCAATTTCTTCTTTAAATTGTTGTATTTTTTCAATTATCTGCTTAATTTTTCTTTTTCTTTAAAAATTACTTTGGGTTTCTTCAATATTTCTTCTACATTCCCCTGTTCTTCGATTTTTTCTGTTGCTACCCTTTTTCTAATTTGGTCAAGATAGCATTCTATAAAGTTGATCAATAATTGTGTTTGCTCCTGAGTTTTTGATATTTTCCGAGGAACTAGTAGAGCTCGCCTGGCACCTGGCTCGGTAGTTCTCGATCCTTTAACTCAAATTCTTCCAACATATCCGATCCGTTGCATTTGTTGGTTTATTTAAATCTTTCCAAATCTTGATTCGACACCTTTATGATTTTTTCTTATTAAAAAACTCACGATTTTTAGGTTTCTTCGATCCATCAAGTTCCTAAAATCCTTTCCGTTGTTTTTTTCTGGCATTCTTCCAATTTTAAAAGCCTTTTTGTGTCTTGAAATTGTTCAAATCCGTTAGTTTCGTGAGATTTCGCCTGTCTTCGGAGTGATTAGCGTCAATAGAACGCTTTCTTTACTTTTTCCAATACCTCAATTTTTCTAATCTCTAATTCTTATGAGTGTTGCCTCCATTATCAACTAAGACCACCTTGGCATAAAGAAAGCTGGTGCCGTATAGATCCAGTAAACTAATTTCTTCAATCTTGGCGAATTTATTTACATATTTCGGACCTGTAACTTCATATATCAAAAACACGAACTTCGACCTAGGGGAATCATGAGGCAAGACAATTTCTGTGGGTTCAATGCAACTGCAGAAGAGGATGAATTAGAGGTTATTACCACCTGCACTAAACTTTACTCCATTACAGATGAGAAGATTCATTGGCGTAAATAAATTTTGAATTCAAAACACTTTCTTCGCCATCAAGGGGAAAACATTTTATACTGCTTTAGCAAATAGGCTTTTTAAGAGAAATATGATCATAAATTATTCGCTTGTGACAATATAAGCACTGAAACACATTTATCTTATTGCAAAATGTAGTGATAAAGCCACGACGTTATATCTAGCCTGTAACGCATTAATCTAGCACAGTGTTCAAGCTGAAATAATGAAGCTCTTCGTGGTACTCTTCTCAGCGGTTGCTGTCCTTGGTATTGCAGCTGGCCAAAATGAGGGTGAATTTGGTAAGACTACTGAACTTAATATCCACATCGATTCCTAGGGACGTTTTTATAGTGTGCCAAGATGGGGTTCCATACATAGAAGGTTTTTGCAATGAATGTTTTTGTAGTGGCGGTGACTGGCATGCACCGAAAAATGGTGGTAGGTACAAAGTCTACGATACCATGGTGCATTCAGCAAACGTTTTCTCGTAGTCCATGGTCTGCTGGTTCCAAAAACTGTACGGTTGGAAGGGAAATGCCGTTTAAATGCAATTACTGCCATTGCGTTAAGGGCTACGGTTTAATTTGTACAAACTACGAATGCACTGCGACAACTCGAATCCACTATGGTACGCGACCATAAGGTTGTTGGTCAACATTCACAGCATAGTGATTTAGTTTAGTACGATTAGGATTTATGTAATAAATGGTGGCGGCTTTGGGGTAAATTGATTCTGGATTTATAGAGGAGAGTGAGACTGACATTCGCCCAGACCTTATATTTGGAGCTAGCTATTACATTGCTCATTTGTGAGTCCGATGGTTAAATGACATTCATTCCCAAAAACACACTTCGCACTGAAAGGAAAGATTCAATTTTATTTATAAAAGAATCAAACGCAATGTGTAACGCATCACCGTCACGCACGCAATATGAATTATACCTTCATAAACACTCTGTATAATAAAATCAAAGCAAACTGCAATACGTTTAATATATTGCTAATTTTCAGGCACAGGCCTAAAATTTCCACGTCCAACTGCAATTAATCTTAACACCAAGTACGAGAAAAACAGCGCTTCAACATAAATTCCTCTAATTGGGTAAAATAATAATCGTTCATAAATACCTTCAATGTTCGTGCACTCGTATTTATCGTATAATCTCTCGTATAATGCAATTGGCCTGACCTCCTCGAAGCTAATCTACACGGACCGACTACAGAATTCTAGTAGGCGTGTTGTGGAAGTTTTTTAATTATCTAGTTTTCCTGGAAAATTCTACGAAAGTCTTCGGCCGCGCAACGGCAGCATTTTATCTAAATTGTAAAATTGTATACGTCGTTACAGTAGGTAACTTGTGTTGCATTGGCGGTCTAATATCGGGCGGCCGGTTACAGCGACACCGAAAACGCTTACACTATCGCTGCCAAAGGTTGGATGGAGTGTTTGTTAAAATAAAGTAACCCTCCACGTGTTTTATTTATACGGTGCGTGTTGTTAAATGTTAAATTAGAGAATGATTTACTCCAGTAAACTCCTGAAGGTTGGGAACACAAGGATGCTTTCCGTTGTCCCAACTCAGGGGTGTATATCACGGATTCTGGATTTCTACGACGGAATGTTGTAATGCAGCGATTCTCAACCTTTCTGTAATCGCGACCCCCGATTTTCTGGGTCTGATGACCGCGACCCCCTAGTACTTAATCTTATTGTTAATGCCATTGAGGAACCCAGTGAAATGCACTACACGCTAAACTAAATATTTTTTATTTATTGTTAGCGAGTTGAATACATACAACAGTAACAGTTATGTAATGCCCTTATACGGGGTGTCAATTTTAAAACTATGCAGTCGGTCATATTTTCCAAACTAAAGAAGATATTGAAAATCGCGCAAAACCTTTTCGGGGGTATCTAGAGTGAACCAGAATGACGTTATGAGTGACAGCCCCCTACCCCCTTAAGTCCCCAGCCCCCCTCTTCAAAAATCCTAAATGACAACCCCATACTTGTGACACATCGTTGGAAAGCTACTGAAAAATGCTTTCGAGTGGTTCCAATAAAGTCAATATTCATTAAGAAAATTTAACAAAAATTTAATAATTAACAAAAAAAACTAAATGTTGACATTGAGCGATTTATGTTGTTATTGTCTTTAGCACTTCCAGATTTCGTTAAAAATCCAAACCGATTTGATTGCTTGCTCATTTTGAAACTAAATAAATTAACCTCATCACACGCATAAAGTTATTGGCAAATTGAAGCGATGTTCTCGACAACAGCCGAGTTCGTGTGGTATCACTACCAGGCGTCTCGGAGTCGGAAGTCCCCGCGGTTGTAACTGACTATGTAAGTTTTCTTTACTACAAAACGACGTTTCCGTCACAACTATCTTATGCACCTTGCATTTTGTTGAATTCGGAATTACCTACCGCGACCCCCAGGTTGAGAATCGCTGTTGTAATGCATTCAGGTTTCCAAAGAAGGCCGGATAAGATTAATCTGTCATACGTCCCTTAACGGGAATATTCCAGGTGATTCAAACAACCCCTTATTCAATATTGAATCATTCGGAAATCACGAAGGAAAGTGACAGTTGTGTTGAGTCAGGTCTATCGACCTAATGAACAACATTTTGAGATTGACTTGATTTCACTTCAATGCGGAATCACATGTTTGATACCGTTAACTTAATTGTTCGAAATAGCGTTCATTTTTGGTGTAAATGTTTGCTAAATTTGTGTTTCCGTTTTGATTACAATAGTCTTCGCCATATTTTGATAATTCTTTTTAAACATGTGGAAATTCTCGAATTGTTAAAAAACTGTAAATAAATGAGTTACGACACCTAATGCCGGGACCGTTCTAGATTCTCAACGATAGGCTGGGAAATCTCGCACGACGGCTCCTGGTAGCCAGAGAAAATATTGTCCTGGGCACAAAAGCTTAAATAAATATGCAATGTTGCCTGACCATAGAAAAAGGACTTCTCATGGATCAGGAACTATTGGCAAAACATCCTTGTGCATTGTATTCTCCTGGTAAGACCGTTGAAACGCAAACTATGTTTTGAAACACATATTTAGCACAGAAAATTACGTCATCATGAATAATGTTCTTGTTATAGACAAAAAAAATTGTCTAAGCGGTGCTGGTGCGAATTAGGGCCCGAAGATCACCCTTTAACATTATATTCTTCAGATACAAGAGTTTTAATACTCTACTACTAATAATAATGAAAAAATTGACCTTGTAAATGTAATTTGACACCTCAAAAAATAAAATATGATAACTACGGCTTGTCCTTTGAGGTTTACAGCGACATACCTTCCAAGGTCCCCTATATAACTACTAGTAGCCGCTTTTCCTGTCTAGATTTTGCACCCGTTAGCGTATATAGCGTGTCACCTATTAGATCCAATGGATAATTATTAACTATATTTCTTTGTTACGTTGTTCAGTTGCTTATAATGTACACAAAGCCTCGTGCTGTCATCTATTTTCTTCATTAGCACTCCATGTGAGGTCCAAAGGCTGGTTGAATTATTCCTTAAATAGCAATGTCGCTGATGTTGATCTTGGATGTTGCTTGATAGGTTGCGCAACTCCCGTATTTATTTTAAGAGCTTGTATTGCTTTGAGCCGAAAAGTCCTTTCTCTGAAGCAAACACGTCTTGGTAGCGTTGGTAGCTTGGTTCTTTTGGGTTGTTGTCAAATTCCTGCATAAGGCTGTACTTATCTCGAAACCTTTCTGGCCACTTCAAGGTGTCATATTCACACATCGCGCGACAGGAGCACAAGTCCCAATCTCACTGCCCTTTTTTTAAACTTTGTCGGGAATTAGTTCAAATTTATCAGCCAAACATTTAGTAGCACCTTGCCAATCAAAATTCCTCGACTCACATTGGTATAATTGGATTCCATCACTCCCGAGCGGCCATTACAGCTTTCTCGCCAAACTCCGGACATGCTCAAGCATTAGGCATAGTAGCTCGTCTCCCTCTTTGTGAGTGGGAACTTCTTCATGGTCTACTCGATGTACTCCATTTTTTACGTTTATCGTAAACTCGAATTTTCTCATCCAGTTCATTCCCAAAGTCACCTCTTCGACATCACCAGCACTTGATACTTACCTTTCTTGAATGCAATAGCAATATCAGCTTTCTCAGTACAAGACCTTGATCACCAGGTGCAGTCTTCAGTCCTAGCTTTTTATTCCGAAATAGGTCAGGTCATTGGATGGTATTCTTTGGACATGTATCTAACAGCATTGTACCCGTTTATTTCAAATACAGTGCCATCTACGTATAGACTATTTGGTTGAGTATTAACTGTTAAGTGACGAGACTTGGATGGCAGTCCCCGGGGCATAACTTAAGTCACTCCTTCCCATCGACCCGAAACCATTAATATTAACATTTTTTCTAACAGACACTACCTGAAATTAAGACAAAAATGCCTCCCCACTCCTGATACAAAGGTTTAAGTAAAAATAAAAAATTGGAGCCCAGGGGTTGGATAATCTTACCTTTCTAGCCGTAAAAAATGTACTCCACGGAATAAATTTCATTGCACCTTACTTATATTCCCCTGATACGAATGTTTAAACCAAATTACACTACATTTTTCTAACAGATACAACGCGACACCCTTCGCCACGCTACACTCTCCTGATAGAAAAATACAGTGTTGGGCATAGAAGCAGTCCTCATGAAATTCTGGCAGCTAGAACAAGGGTGCAACAGGTACCGTGTAGAATAGGAGGAGCAATACCTATGCCCATGAACTTGGCAGGCCTACGACATCAGACCATGGTTCTGCTTACTCATATCGTTAGTGTTCCGTTAGTGCACGTTAGTGCCGCTGAAGAAATCGTTAGTGCACAAAAGGAAACACTATTTTTTTAAAATATTTGTGGGCCTGCTAACTTCATGCCAGCAGAACCACATTTGTCAAATTGACCCTGTCCTAATGCGAATTTGAAGCAGCTCGTTAGTGCTTCACATGCGAACGGTAGTGCTGCAAGGGATCCGCACCAAAAAGGTACCAAACCACCTCAAACTTAAACTTGACTTATCGGGACCTGCCAACTTCACGCCAGTAGCCCAACAAACGAAAACGTTCGAATGTGAAGCACTAACGAGCCGCTTCAAATTCGCATTAGGACAGGGCCAATTTGACATTTGCTGCATGAAATTAGCAGACCCCTTTTTACAACGTTTTGAGCTGGTACACTTTGAGCACTAACGTTTATATTGGCGGCACTAACGAGCATTAACGCTGCTAGTTTAACTAGTGTAAAGATTGAATCGATTTTCTCAAATGGGTCTGCTGGCATGAAGTTGGCAGGCCCACAATTATTTTTTAAAAGTAGTTAGTTTCCTTTTGTGCACTAACGATTCCTTCAATGGCACTAACGTGCACTAACGGAACATTAACGATATGAGTAAGCAGAACCATGGTCTGCTGTGGTAGGCCTGCCAAGTTCATGGACATGCAATACCTCCCTGCACATCAACATCTCCATAACGAAAATTAAAAGTTTGAAGATTCCTCTGAGCATATAAAAGATCTCCGGGTGAAATATATTCTCCTGCTTGCCAAAAAATTACAACCATTTTTATTGCCACCACCATAGATTACAATATATTATATTTACCAAATTTACACAATTAGATTTTCTTACGGTTCCGTAGCATAGTGGATTGGAGTCGCCGTTGTGTTGCAATCGCGATTTGTACAAAGTAGCCCCCAGCCGACAACGCAGTGACAGGTATGGCATTCGGAGATCGTTTCCATTTCCACTGTACAGTTCCTATACTCGTCAGACCATGAACTAAAAGAAAACGTTTACTCAATGTACTATATTAGTGTGTACCTACCAAACCATATCAGTGCACCTTAGGTTACCGTGATCACAAATACATTCATTGCAAAAATTTTCGATATATGTAACCCCCAATTCGCAAACTATAAAGATGACATAAGGATCAGTGTATATGTTAGGAAATCTTACAAAATTCGCCATTATTTTGGCCAGCCGCAATGTAAAGGACAGCAAGAGCTGCGAAGAGTACCAAGAAAATCTTCATTCTTACAGCTGAACAATGTGTAAGGTGAAGACGTTACTGTGGAAATATGTCGTTCCGTTATCACTACATTTTTCACTAAGATAAGTGCTATGTCATAAAAAACGATTACTTTATGATCATATTTTCTTGTAACGGCTATCTTCTGGAGCAATGATCAATATTTACTCCTTTGTGACGTAAAAAATGGTTAAATTCTCGCCTGATCAGATTAAGCGGAAGCGTGTCGTATTAAAATCCATGTGGAAGAATTTTGCAGAGAAAAGAGAAGGTATTATGACTCCTAAAAGTTTCATTGTGGGGGTCTTTGTGTATCTGAGCACATGAGAATGACTGCTGAGAAGTTGGGCCCCTATACATTTGAGTTTCTAATCCTAGAGCTTCGATCTCTACGGTTCACTGAGCCTACTATTCACTATGTCGGTTGTAGATTCTTTGCGCGTTTGAATCTTGGGGTTTTGAGGCTTTCGTTTCTCCGTACTCTTGTGATCAACATCTAGGTATCTTCAAATATGTATTTCAGATTTTGCGTACTCTTTTTGAATATTTTAAGCTTTTCGGCTCCATGAGGTATTGAGACCTTAAATCTTTGGTTTGGGAACCGCTGAGCCTTTGAGTTTTTGAACCAATGATTCTCTGGGTGGTTGATTTCATTTTCATTGACTAAATAACGAAGTCGTTCAAAGACTGAGGTATTCATAGACCTGAAGGCGACATAATAAATTGTGATACGGGTGGATTGAGTTAGGGATAAAAAACTCAACGGTGCAAGGATTCGATGGTTCTGAAGCGCGAAGGCATAGACACAGGATTCAAGGATGTAGATATAATAAAACATTCAAAAACTGGAAGACAGACACACCCCGACCTACAGGTTAGGCATACAGACGTAAGGGCCCGAATTTTAAATGAGATCCAAATGAAATCAAACACCCAGAGAATCATTGATTCAAAAACACAAAGGCTCAGCGGATCCTAAACCTCAGATCTAAGGACTCAATACCTCATGGAGCTTAAAAGTTTAAAATATTCAAAAAGAGGACCAAAAATCTCAAATACATATTTGAAGATACCCAAAGGCAAACAGGCCACTATATAATCACAAGAGTACGGAGAAACGCAGGCCTCAAAACCCCAAGATTCAAACTCTGAAAGAATCTACAACTTAACGATACAGTAAGCTCAGTGAGCCGTAGAGACCGGAGCTCTAGGACTAGAAACTCAACAAATATCAAAGCCTTTTACTTTTACTTTTAGTTTAAGAAGCCATAATACCTTCTCTTTTCTCTGCAAAATTCTTCCACATGGATTTTAAATTAAAATTTTTAATACGACACGCTTCCGCTTAATCTGATCAGGCGAGAATTTAACCATTTTTTACGTCACAAAGGAGTAAATATTGAACATTGCATCAGAAATTAGCGGTTTCAATAAAATATGTTCATAAAGTAATCGTTTTTTATGATATAAGCACCTATCTATATAGTGCAAAATGTAGTAATAAAGGCACGATATATCTCCGCAGTAACGTATTCACCTAGCACATTGTTCAGCTGAAAGAATGAAGGTCTTCTTGGTACTCTTCGCAGCTGTTGCTGCTCTATACATTGCGGCTGGCCAAAATGAGGGTGAATTTGGTAAGATTTCCTAATATATACACTGATCCTTAGTGTCATCTTTATAGTTTGCGAAGATGGGGTTCCATATATCGAAAATTATTGCAATGAATGTATTTGTCGTAACGGTAACCTAGGGTGCACTAAAATGGCTTGGTAGGTACACACTTATAGTACATTTATACTCTGTTTTTTAACTAGGAAGACGGATTTAGGTAAAGTTGCTATTGACATGATTTAACTGTCAAATTTAATCGTGATTCTCGTCCGTAACTGTTGTACTTATTTTTGAGTTTTTTTTTTTTTGTTTGAAGTACCTACATTTCTTTTATTTAATTAATTACAAAGTTAAAAAATTTTTAAATATTCATAACAAATAATAAATTTCTTCCATGGGGATCGCAGTTGGAAGCGTCCCCATTATACTTGCCGCATTGCCACGTTGTATAGCAATACTGATTTTTTGTTTTAAATATATTTAAAACTAGTAGCTCGAGGTTCTCCAGTAATACTGGCAATACGTTTTCCTAAACACTCCACAAAATTACGAGCCTCTCTGCACCAAGGTCCCAAAGTCTCTACTGCGAAAGGTATAAAAATATGGTTCTGTTCTATAATTGAACAATATTTCCTTATTTTTATACCTGCCGCAGATTCAGCTACTGCACCACCCGTTTTACTTGATAAATTAACATGGGATGGTGCTAGACTGTCGGTGCATGTGGCATCCCAAACTAGCATTTGTCCTTTGGTCCAAGGCACAAGGGTCATTCCATCAGGACGTTTATTGTCGTCACGTCTTAGGCCTACAGGTTCCAACATAGCAGGGTATTTTGCCGATGCAAGTGAACGATGTATTATTTCATTCAAAGATGAGTGTCGAGAATGTCGACCTGCGCTCATCGAGCAAGATAGTCCGTGTATTCCACTGCTGTCTACTTGCGTACCACAAATGCAAGTATGAGGAACGCAAATGTTTGTTCCAAGGCGTAAGCTGATGGAAATACGAAACGTATTGTTGTCCAATAACAATCCAATGGTTTTAGAGGGAAGTGTATTTAACCATATGTTAGATTCTGGAACCGCCGAAGCTTTATATCTCGCGATATCGAGTTCACTTGTCAGTGTCATAGATCTTACTACACGTTCAACGTTGATCAAGTCCCAATTTCTTTGAACGGAAGGTATAGATGGTATTGTTAGTTCTTCTTTATTAAAGCTATTGGAACTTTGCTGTAATGTTTTCCAGAAGTTCAAAGCTTCATCGTAAAAAGGAATATCAACCTTAACTGTTATAGATTTATGTAACATGTCACAAATAAGGTCGTAAACTCTATTTACTGAAGCCAAAAAAGCTGGTATTGCTAAATCACTTGCTTTCCTCACACCTAATCCACCGACATTGACAGGTAGGGATGTTAAAATCCATTTTTGCTCTGATAAAGTTGTGTTTAGTAAGTTTCTAGAGTTTATCTGATTTCCGTATCAAAAGAGTGCAGGATTTCCTCAAAATTCCACGTCGGGGTAGTGCGTAGAAGATATGTTAATCTTGGTATAGCAAAGCAGTGTCTCAGTAGATAGAAAGCAATATAATAGCTATTCAAGCTAGGTAACCGGGCAAACAAAATCTTCATTTCCTCTAGTTTAGTGTTTAAACAGCACATTGCTGCTTTCGATGTCAATGGGGCTCCTAATAGTGTAAGATTGTCTTTCGTGATACTTCGGATTCCTGGAGATAATAATTGAAACCTCTTTAAAACTTCTTCGTCGGTATCAGACATAAAATGTAATTCACATTTTGAAGGATTGATTTCAAGTCCTATCTTTCTAGATTCATGAATTATCTGGGCAAAGTCAGAAAGAACTGATGCTGAATCTCCGGCTAAGGTGCCATCATCAAGATACCAAACATTAAGTTCTGAAATTAGTGAGTTTATAATGGGATGAATCGATAATGAAAAAGCCATGGGTCCTATTGGATCACCCTGTTGACAGCCAACTTGACTGTTAATTACTTCAGGCCCAAAAAATAGTTTTGATGGAGTAGCGTAGCACTGCCAGAGGTAATGATATAGCTCCGAAGTCTTAGCTTGTATAGCAGCTAACATTGTGTCGCGTTCTACCGAATTAAATGCGTTCTTAAAATCAATTTTCAAAAGCACTTTGTTTGTATGTTGATTTGATTTTAGAAACGTTCTTACAGTGTGAACGGCAGCTTCGCAACCTCCTTTTGTGCCAAACCCCAACTGTGTAGGCCGAAAGTATTCTCCAATTCTTTGCTGAACTGCTTTACATGCGAGCTTGGCTGACAGACGACGAAGTGTATTTCCTACAGCTATTGGACGAATTCCTCCACCTTTCTTATTTAACGCGCACAAAGAGGCACCGTGGAGAATTGGCAGAATATATTCATTGACATCTCCTCGTAATATTAAATTGCATAGCTCTGTTATAGTACACAATAATTTCCTTCCGGATTCGCCATTTCCGTAAGATATCAAATCCTTTAAAACCTGTGGTGCTAAACCATCAATTCCTGATGCTGATCCATTTGGAAATGATCTAATAGCTTTAGAAACGTCTTCTTCGGACACTATCAGGCACGTTTCAGCTGAGGAAGGTGGCATAGGAAAAGTAAGATTTCGTGATGGAGCTGGATGTTTATCTTGAAGTTGTTGAATGGTGGCTGCATCGTGTTTAGCAAGTGAATCGGTTGATGAAAGTAGTTTCACAGCCCCTTTTACATCACCATCTGCAACTTTGGCTTCCACGCGTTTAACGATATTAGACTTATTTGGTATAATTGTTGCTGTTACAGTACTTTCATTGAAAGACGTGACATTTTTTTTTAACTAATGAGGTCAGAGACTTCAACTTTGTTGTACGTTTTGGGACCTGAAGAGCGATGTAGGAGAAAGTCATCAAATCTTCCCAAGATTTTTTGTCATTTTTCAAGATGCATGCATTCAAAAAACAATGTAATTTTTCTGCGACTACGTGACGAGCACCTTGAGGGATCCGTTTCAACACTCGAACAGTTTGCTTGTACGTTCCTAATTTAACTGAAAAAGCATCGAGGTCATTTTCTTGAGATGGTTGTTGCATCAACTCAGGCAAAAATTGGTTATGTGCATGTCTATAATGCGCTCGGAGTCCTCGGATTCCTTTATATTTTTTTGTTCCTGGAGGACAGTGACTGCATACTACAGAAGTGGTAGTTATATTGGCTTCACTTTGAGATAGTTGAGTATAAATCGAGTCTTGATTATTTGTACAGCTTTCATTTAAAATTGATGAGCTTGTTGACATTTTAATTTTAACATAGATGACATTACCTGCTTTTTGTAATAAAGAAGAGCAAAACCATGTGGAAGAACTTCTGTTGAGACGGAGTTTTTGTGTGTTCTGAGTCCATTTGCATAAATTTTAACCAAAAAAAACAGTTCTTTT